ATGAGAAGTCAAAGTTATAGTGCCCCCAGACTGAATAAACAGTCAGTATTCACTCTATTACATATTTCAAAGGAAAATTAATTACTTATACTCTCTTTAAAAGGAACATAACAATAAAAAATACATAAGACCAAACTTGGGCAGTAAAAGTAACTGCCGGTATCTTACCCTGTTCTCTGCCGGTGAATATTGAATGATAAAGTATTTTGAATTACGGTAGTTTGCTTTTAGAGTTAGAGTTCCAGTATTGGAATTTTTCTGCGTTTCATTAACCACTTGTGTTTGTTTCACAGGTGGTGAAGGGGAATATCACATATGTTCATGGATTTTGTAGCTGGGTGGCAACTGTCCCCAACCCTGGGTGAAGGTGCCTTTGGGAAGAAAGTACTGGATTCATTTCATTTCATTTTTATTTGGCATTCATAATTGCTACAACAGTAGTCAGTGCACTGTACTAATTAACATTTATACAGGATGTAGAAAGGTTTCCTCTTAAGGTTTGCCTTTCTGGGCTGCCCTTATTTTCCCTCAGTGCAGACCGCATAGAGAACTCTGCTTCCAACAGTTTCTCCATTGTTGCATGTTTACACATCCCTTGCCTATCAGTTGCTGTTTCTCTGGCTCCCTTATTCCGGCTGTGAGACCTCATGTTACAATATACTTGAAGATGGTGATGCATGGTGGAGGCATTGGACTTATATGAATGTTGTATAAATAAGACTGAAATAATTAATAAGTTAGTGCATGAGGATGCTTAAATACAATAGCTTTACTACTGCATGGGTGCTGGCTATGCTTATCTCCAGAGACATTTATGGGCTTATTCATGCAATTGGACCTGCAAGCCTGTATGCTGGATTGGATGGGAGTGAGGATGTTGGGTTGTGGACATGAGTATGCCATGATCTCAGTTGCATCCAGATCTGAACATCCTTACCCAAAGAAAATGAAAATTTGACTGTGTTGTCTCACTGTAAATTGTTTATGATTAGACCTGTGTGAAGCAGGATTGCTGTATTGAAAACTTTTTTAAAGGGTTATACTTTCTGGGGTATGATGTGTAAGGTAAAGTAATGCCTCAGTCATTAAGCGATGAAAATGTTTTGGGGAGTGGAGGTAATTGCTCCTGCATTTCTGACCTGACCACTAGATGGAGGTGAGTGGGTATCTTCAGATCCTGGCCTCATTATCCCTAGGGAAAGAGCCCCAGTACCCAATGGATAGGAGGCTTTGTGGGCCGAAGAGCCAGTCTGGACGCTGTGGAGAAGAGAAAAATCTTTTGCCCCTGCTAGGGATCAAACCCTGGCTGTCAGCCTGTAGCCCATCATTATACTAACTGAGATGCCCTGGCACCTCTACAGTATTGTTTGTTGAAAGCCAGCTGAAGTTTTATGGAACATGTTGCCACCATCTTCAGGATTGGGGAAAAAACCTAGCATCTCTGCCTTCTGTCTGCTTTATGAAGATGGAAGGGACATATGCTTCTGAACCACTGGTTGATTTGCAGTGGACTGCATTGTGTTATGTCTCAGAAGTTAAACCACCGTTGTGAGAACCCCAGATCATACTCTATCATATTCTTCTCCCCCCACTGTGTTTGTAATTCTTAGTAATTGTAGTTAGTCTGCTTTTCTTGGAGCAAGTAGTGAGTGTATAAGATAGCACTTTGCTATTTATAAAACGTAACCAAACTTTCATTTGTATTTTCCAGAACCTGATCGTGGCATAACAAACTCAACAGGTCAGAGATATTTCAATGAGATACTTTCAGGAGTGGTGAATGAAGTTTATCTTTCTCTAATATGGTATGCTACAGATAGGAATTTGTATATCTAAGATTCTAAAGTGTTCTGTTTATGGTGTATAACACTAGTGATTACTGGGTTTTTGGACTTTGCCCATCAACTGGTACTGTGAAGAGCACATTTCAGGAACTCGATCTGTTTTGTCCTCAGGTTGGGGGTGAGAAACACCTAACTTGCTTGGGTCTGTTAGAAAGAGCTGAACTTAATCACTGGATAAAACATTGTGTTCTAGTACTGGATGTTGGACAAAGTCCAAAACCCCAGTAATCCCAAGACTTGTTTTTCTGTAGTATTATCATTACAAAATGCATTCACGCATATTAAACCTTGTGTAATTAAATTTTAAAACTTAGAAATATTTGCTTTTCGAAAATACACATCTTAAGGAAAGTTATCGTTCAGAATTATGAGGCTACAGCATGGAGTACTGTTTATTCTTGTCGTAAAGTTCTTACAAATGAATGAATGAATATTTGTTGATTGTGAAACTGTATAGCAATCAGCATAACATTGTATCCCAGGCTGTAGTTCACAAATTTAGTAAATCCATTGTGTTCACAGTCTACACCTATCGCTTGGGGCTTTCAGAATTCATGGTTCATAGATGGGTACCAGTGTTTCAGAGGAACTTGCTGTCTCCATCTTCAGTGTAAAAGAGGTCCCACTCTTTATTCCGAAGATGGCAACAGCAGGTTTGTTCAGTATGCTTTTGAAGACAGCAGTGTTCTGGGATTTGGCACCATGTATATGTGGTGTTAACCGACGTTTCGGAGGAACGTATCGCCTCCATCTTCAGGGTATAAGAAAAAATATATAAGAAATCTGCAAGTGGAGAGACCGTGAGAACCGGTAAAAGCAGACTGCTTTCTTTTACCGGTTCTCACGGTCTCTCCGCATGCAGATTTCTTATATATTTTTTCTTCTACCCTGAAGATAGAGGCGATACGTTCCTCCGAAACGTCGGTTAACACCACATATACACGGTGCCAAATCCCAGAAGACTGCTTTCTTCATAGTCACCGCCATGAAAGCCTCAAATCTTACACAGTATGCTTTTATTTATCTACGAAACTACACACCATGACCTTCCAAAAAGCTGCAATACGAATGTCCTTCACTGTGTGAACCTCACACCTGTTTACACACTGTTGGTCTTGCTGTTTTCTTATTCCTGACAAAGGTAAAGTTGTCCCAGTGCTTAAGTAAGCACTACATCCAGAAGATGTATGGGGGAGTGGAAGTGCAGCTCCACCATTCTTGACCTCAGTGCTAGATCAAGGTGAGTAGTCAGCTTCACACAGCAGCTGCTCTACTGCCAGGGAAAGAGCCCATGGTACCCATTTGATAGGAGGCAGGGTGGGTCCCAGGGTTGGCCTGGATGCTGTGGGGAAGAAGACTCTTGTCCCTGCCATGAATTGAACCCCGGCCATCCAGCCTGTAGCTTATTGCTGTACCAATTGAGTTATCCTAGACTCTTCATTCATTGCTGATGCAACACTGTTTTAATGANAACAGCCAGAAGATGTATGGGGGAGTGGAAGTGCAGCTCCACCATTCTTGACCTCAGTGCTAGATCAAGGTGAGTAGTCAGCTTCACACAGCAGCTGCTCTACTGCCAGGGAAAGAGCCCATGGTACCCATTTGATAGGAGGCAGGGTGGGTCCCAGGGTTGGCCTGGATGCTGTGGGGAAGAAGACTCTTGTCCCTGCCATGAATTGAACCCCGGCCATCCAGCCTGTAGCTTATTGCTGTACCAATTGAGTTATCCTAGACTCTTCATTCATTGCTGATGCAACACTGTTTTAATGATATCTGTGTGTAGAACATATGGCAACTGAACTAATTCTTGCTTGTTGCTTGTTGATAATCAGGAGTACCTTCATAGCCGTGGCATTGTACATCATGACCTGAAGCCGGAAAATATCATGCTGGATGAACACGATGAACGTAAAGATTTGTTGACTTTGGATTGGCTACTGTATTCAGGGGGAAAGGAATAGTAAGTAATGGTCGTACAGTTTATGTATAATATTGGAGCATATGTGTGGTTCTGTGTCACTTTTCAGAAGTTTTGCAAAGTGTGGCAGCGGGTCAGTAAGTGATGGGCTTAGCAGGTTTGCAGATAGTTGCATCTCATAGCACATTTGCAAAGTCTCTAGGTGCAGATCTTGTAAGGGATTGAATATACTCAGTAAGGTTCTTGGTGCTTTTCCCCAAATGGAGCAGTAGGCTCTCTGTTCAGCCCAAACTCTATGCACTGATGGTACAAATAACCCGTAGAAACTTGCTTTTGCATTCTAGCAAGTGACAGAGAATCAACTTAGATCCATATGGCAGGGTCAGAACAGTCCAGTATCTGGGTTATTGTGGTTCGATTCCTGACGAAAACAAAAGGTTTTCCTCTTCATGACTGGCCAGGTGGTAGATATGGGGGGGGGATTGCGTGGAGGTAAAGCGGGGCTTGAAGCTGGCCATTCATTTCCATCTAATGCAGAAATTAAGAATTCCTGAAGCTGTACCTCCACTCAGCCATGTCTTTATGAAGTGTAGGGCAACTTTTGGCCATGCCAACATGTCATACAGCAATTGTACGAGATTGAGACAGAGTGTTGCATCATAGTTCTTGCTTCATTTTGGGAGGTCCTGGGCTTCAGTTCCCGTGTCGTAAGTGGGTATCCTGAGGGTTTTCCTCAGTCCTTCCAGGCTAATGTTGGCCAGTGCCTTAAACCAAACAGACCACTTTCATATCCTTTCAAATTCACATTCTGTCTTATGGGCAGTGAAGTTGTTTTAATGAAGTAAAGTTAATTAATTTTCCTCCCCTCCCACAATTTTTAGTGTCTGATTTCTTCTTATGGAGAGTGCCTCAAATTCAAATGAGTGTATAGGAATCTCCTTATATTTGGTTTCCAGGTACTGCTTTCTTATATATGCTGGTGTTTATTACTTTCAGTATCAATACAGTGTACATTAATACAGAGTTCAGTCATCGTTTTTCAAGTTTGTGACATATTTTACATCTGCCATAGCTTATGGGAACCCCATAACAGTCGTGAATTTCACTCATACTATTTAGTCCTCATATATGTTCATTCATGTTACAGGAATTTGGCAGTTGTTGGATAAAGGTTTTCTGACGAACTTGTGCTTGTGTCTGGAACAATTGTTAACAGCAATTCAATTTATTTTTAGGAGTGGACATTGACAAAGCATTGTGGAACATTCGCATATACGGCCCCAGAGGTCTTGATGCCACCATACCATGGCGTACCAGCCGATTTGTGGTCGTGTGGTATCATTTTGGTGGTTCTTTTAACTGGAGGTGAGTACCTGTTTAGGTATCTGTAGGACTGTAACTGCACTGTTACATGCATGTGGTGCCCAACATAAGCAGGGTAGTGACACATTTATCTAGTTCTTGCTCTTATCCTGAGATGTGTATTCAGTCTGTTCAGAGTAGCTTATCTCTGTAATGAACACAATGGGGTTCAGTGACATATCCCTTGTTTCTGTGTGCTTTTTATCTCTGCTTGACAAATTCTAGCTAACATCAAAACTACAAGTATTACAGTTATAAAAGATGCTACAATGTAGGAACCATGTGACCCTTGGTTTTTTTCTTTTCAGTGTATTCCAAATATTTCATTAAGTTTTGTTTATACCAAGATGGGGCCAGCCACTTATGCTGCTGTTTATTTATATGGTTATAATAATAATGTCCCTTCACTTGGGAATCCCAGAGCTCTTAAGAAGAGAGAGACAGGATTTTGCTAGATGATTGTAAATTGAAAAGTTGCAGACAGCTACAGGCGATCCCTA